AAAAAAAAAAATAAATGCTAATAGCATGGTAAAAAAAAAAAAAGATTTTTTCTGAATTTCACAATGACAATTTTTTCCATTTTTTTTTCTTTTTAAAAAATATTTCATTGGAGTAGCATTGAGTCATAACATTATTTTAAGATAGGCTGTAAATTTTTATAAATTCATTGGGTCCTTATATTTTAGAGCCAGAAAGGATACTGAAGTCCAAGGCTGTTGTTTTACATTTAAAGAAACCTAGGTCCAGAAAAGGAAGTGATTTACCTAATGAAACCTCAAATAAATACTTATATTTTTAAGTCTGTCTTAAAGATAAGAGGAGTTTGGAGATCCTTCTGGGGATGGTGTTTCTGTATTCTCCAGTAGTACCACAGCCAGTAGCCAGTAACATGTGGTTACTGAGCACTTGAAATGTGATTAGTGATATCAAGGAACCAAATTTTAAACTTTATTGAATTTCAAATAATTAAATAGTGCATGTGGCTAGTGGGTACCACATTTGACAGAGAGGTTCAGGGATTATAATTTTCATCCCTTACCTATTATAATCTTCCTTGAATATTACACCCCTGCAAATAGAACCTAAAAACCATTTAACAGTCAACTTTTATATACTTTCCTGTTCATCCTTATTGTTGTGATTTTCATATATTGTATTTTCTATTTATGTTGGTATTATTTGGATCTAAATTCTGTAGATTCAAATTTTCATGTAGTACAATTTCCCTTGAGTCTGCAGAATTTCCTTTAGCATTTCTTGGAACTTGGTTCTGCTGGGATTAGTCTTATCTTTTGTCATGCCAGGCCAGTCCTTCAGGAAGTTTCTTGCTAGATTGTAGTTCTCTGGCGGCTCCTCCATTCCTTTATGGGGCAGGAAAGCGTTGAATGCCTATTGTACATTCCAGCCCCCTCCCAATATATTGAAAAGGAGAGGAAATGTTAACCAAAGCCTGTTTTGCAGTTTGTGACCCTATAAACAGGGCCATAGGTCAAGGACATGATTCATTCTGGGTAATTGTGAAAACAAAAGCTCACTTTATAAGTTGAATGTTGTACTCCCTGGATGATTCCCAGGATCCCTGTGGAAAGGATAGAAGAAGTACAGGAAGGAACTTAACTTTCCAGGAATTCATTCATTATGCTCACACTGACAGGTAGAATTCCACCATCCAGCACCAGTTTTGATTTTCCCTTCATGCTTCCCATTGTTCTTAATGTCAAAAAGATCTTCATTGTCAACAAGCGCAGTATTTATAAGATTTATGATTTCTCAAATTATTTCAGTAGAGACAGTGTGGCTAGCCCTATTCTGAATGTACTATGAAAGTCTAAAGTACTGAAATTTCTACACTCAGCACATTATATCTGCCATTGGTTTAGGCCTATGTCTTTGTTGGTCTTTTTAGTGAGCACTCACATCTTAACTTACATTATTCAAGAAAAGCAAATTGATAGTGTTACTAATTTTTTAATGAAATAGTCCATTCATTTGTATGTTACCCAATAGCTTTCAAAACATTTCACTTAGGTTATCTTACCTGACTATAACAACAGTTTTATGAGAGAGGTAGGACGGATACTTGTCCTGCCAATAAAATGGCAGCTCCAAATGGGTTATGACAACACACCTAGAAGTGGGGAGGGGATCAAAGTTATGAGTCTGTTGGATGGGTAGATAGATACACACACATACACACATATCTATCACTGTTATCATTTGATAAATGCTTATTATTATAGGTCAGTTACTCTGCTGAATATTTTAATTGAATTATCTTATTTAATCCTACAACAACCCAGTATGAGAGAGACCTATTCTTATACCCATGTTAAATACAGAGAAACTAAGACAATGAAGTTAAGTAAGGTATGGAAGGCCACACAGCTAGTAAGCATCAGCACTGGAGCTGAGGCTCAAACAGTATGACTTCACAGTTTAGGGTCACAATATAGGTTTTAGGACGTCCCTCTGAACAGTTGTTAGTATGCATACTTGAACCAGTAATTGCTTTGGTCATTTCTTAATAATTTTATTAAATTACTTGCTATTTTTAATAGCAAGTAATAATGATGCTTTTTAACTGTTTCTATAAGTTTATAAGGCAGAAATGATTATTGTTATAGGTTATGGATGATGAAGAGATAATACATGGTGGGGAGGGACATATAAGGTAATCATACTGGTGCCAAGATTTCACAAGGCAGAGTGGCATTCTTCTACTACCAAATAAATCTTGTCCTAGGAGGAGGAGAATGCCTCTGGAAAAAAATGTTATTCAAGGCAGCTAATTATTTGTCAAATGAGGACTTACCCACAGTATGTAAAAGGGCCTACCGTCAGAGGGCAGTCTGTCCAGTGCCAACCAAGCAGGATGATATCGCAGGGAAAACCTCATCGGAACTCAGCTCTGAATGTCCTAACCTGCCTGAACAGGTGTAAATGTTTAGAATTTTGTCTCTAGCTGGAGTTCTCAACTACTTATGCATGTCACCCTGACTCAGATATCCACAACAGCTATGAACATGCTAAATGAGTCCTTGCTCCAAGAGGGCAGAAACCTAAAGATAGTTCCACTCCCAACAAGTAGTTGAATATGAGGACTATTTATAATTGTTCTAAACAGAATTTCACAGATGTGAAACGGTGTAAGGGAAGGTAGAATAAAATCATTTAAATTATTTACAACCTTGAAGGCTATATTCCATGTTGACAAAATAATAGAAGGGCCACTGGGTCTGGTCTTTCCTTCTTGGTAGATAATATCCTTGGGCCTTGGGCAAGTCCTATCACCTCAAAATCATTCTTGCCACGTGGGTCATGCCCTACAGGTTGAATTATAAATCACATCTAATCATCTGTGAGACAAATAGGTAAATTTATCAAATGCTTTTTAAATATTTTTCAAGTACATGAAATATGTGTGATGTGTAATGTACACTGCTTAAACATTAATTTTTCGCCATTGTCATTTGTTGTCATTTTGGTACTTCTGAAGCTTAGTCTCACTTGCACCCAGAGTTGTTTTTCCTTACTCATATTTTCTTTTCCATAGAGCAAATTGGCCAAGAAATGTTGGAAAATCTCAGTCATGACAGAGAAAAGATACAGCGAGCACGTGAACGAGTAAGTAGAAACGACACCATCTTTTTCACAAATTCAGTAAATAAGACATAAAATAAATGGTCTTTGGCACAAGAATAGACAATCACACTGATGTAAGTTCATATGGAAATGGCTGGGATGGAAGAAAGTTGTAGAGTCTGAGGAGGGGGGAAAAGTGCATGGAATGGAGAAAGAATAAACTGATTCTTTGTATCACCATCTGGGAATGCCCTAAGGGAGATATTTTATTTAGCTCTATAGCTGAGAAGAAGGTCATTGAGGGAGATTTTGGAGTCTGTCAAGTCTTTCAGAGTGAAAGCTGTAAAAATACTGTTGTCTCATCTTCCCTCAGTTCATTTTGCTTCTATGCATCACCCTAGGACTTTGCATGTTCATATATTGGAGTTTAATTACCAGATATATATATATTAATATATTCAACTTGGTCAGCCTGTGAGACATGTGCTTTTATATCCAGTTCAAGTATCCAGTTTAAAACTCTTGCGATTATCTAATGTGTGTAACTTCTGAAACTAAGAATTTTGGGAGTTTGTGTAGGTGTCCAAAATATCCTTTGGTATATTTGAGTATTTTTTAAGAATTGGATTTTCTACATCATGAAAGAAAAGTATTGCTTGCCAGTGCACTTTAAAATAAATCCAGTTGCATGAGATTTTTTTGTTGTTGTTCTAATGCTCCTTTTCTCCTTCTAGCTGCGGGAAACAGATGCTAACTTGGGCAAAAGCTCCAGAGTTCTGACAGGGATGTTGCGAAGGTAAGAAGGTAGGGACCTGTCTTCCTCTCTCTCGCTCCTTTTTTTTAAACTATGTTTTTCATCTCATTGCAACTGGGTATTTTCCAAGCATGCCAGCCTCTGCTCTTCGTACCCTATGTCAAGACCCTTTTGAAATGACAGAGCACTGATATTAACTCTTGTTTGGACAGGAACATATACTGAGTAACTTAGATTAGAGGGAAGGCTTGAGCTAGGGGGTTACCTCAAGCTATGGAAAAAATTAGGGTTAGACATGAAGTGTTTTCTCATAGCCTGAGGAAGGCCCCATGGCAGGAGCAGACTGATTTTAGTTTCTGTTTCCATAGCCTCTTCTTACAGGAGGAATGCAGCCCCATGATATTGGCTTTGCTGTCTCTGGCCTTGTTTTTATTTCTCTGTTAAGCACCGCTGTTTGGGGAAACATTTTGTATTTGTGTACACTTCAAGGTGATTTTTTTAAAATTAATATATTACCTCAATTGCTGAATTTGCATGTGTGAACAAACAAATGTTAATGTTTTCAGTGTGTAACTAACCTTTGATTGGTGGAAAATATTCAGGAGAGTATGTGAAAAATGAAGGAGTATAGGTAATCGTTTATCTCTTGTGTTTTGGGGTATTTTTGGAGGGGATAAGTATGTTTTCATTGCTCTGAAAACTGGAGTCTTTTTTTACTTAGGTATGGTCTGCATGCGATTATTTTACATTCAGAATCTACCAAATAACAGTGTCATCTAGTTTATAATCTTCAATTTGGAACTGTGGATAGAAGTGTGAATGAAGGATGTTGAGAATTGTCTCTAGAGTAGCCTAATTGGAATTTGAAAAGAAAAAGAATTTCATTGTCATTGACATTGTGATCATGTATGTATCCATACATAGTTTGCTAAAAGTGTAGTTGCCATGTTAGAGATTACCTATGACCCAATCAGATGTGCAGTAGCTTTGTCTTCAAGGTCAGTGCAATTTCTGTTAGTTTGATCAGTAGCCAGCCAGTGTTCCCGGGACACTTGCAGCCTGTGGTCACCTCTTGCCACATGCCCTTCCCTTTCCCATGAGCAAGGTTCCAACTCAGAGACAGATTCTCTGATTAAGAGTTACATGCAAATGACCTAGAAAAACTCAAAATCCACGCAGGAGAAAAGTGGCAATTGAAAGGAATGCTTCAGTGCCTATAGACAATAAAAAAGAAAAAAAGAGAAAAAACCCCTCTTGCTTCCCTGGGAGGGCCCCGGTGATGTGAGCTGTAACGAATATTCTACGTATGTCTCCGTTTCGTCAAGTCTCATTAAAGAGTCCGTCTGCTTTATGTCAATTGAGCTGTCCAGAAATCATTCATCATTTTTAGTGTAAAAAAAAAATCATGCGGTTATTTAAATAATATCATATTAATATTAAAGTTCAGCTGTCATTTAAGGGTATGGCTTAATCAGATGTAGCATTTAGGAAAAATAGTTTTTTCGGGCACTGTGTGGCTTTCAGGTTGGCAGATTCAAATAAGGATTTATGGGTTTCTAAACCAATGTATTTCTGTCCCTGTTTCTGCTTGATGTACCTCACCCTTTTGTGCAGGACACAGCAGACAGTTATTTCAACAAATAAAGCATCTCCTCATATTGTGTTTGAATAAATTTGCAAGTCATTTAGAGAGGGAGCAGCACAAACAACTTCTGCAATCTTGGACTGAGCTTTCTGGAGGGAAATGGTACTAACGTGGTGGTTTCATAAGCTCACAGAAGAAAATTGCTCTGCTGAAATCTACTTGGGCTTCCCTTTGTAGGCAAAATCAGTCAATCACTGACTCATCTTCTTTTGGGATCTGCCTACAGTAGAAACAGAAACAAAAATGCCCAGATGGACACCCCCTTGCTATGTCTGAGCCAAGGAAACTCTTTAAGCCCACCTGTGCGTATCCAGTAACTGTGTTTGTTGTTGCTGTTTTCTTCAGCCTGGGCACAGCAGGCATCTTGGTATCAGCCATGGTATCCAGGTCCTCTTCATCAGTGTTGTAACCTCACCAAGACTTTGGAAACCAAATACCCATGGTGGTTTTGTCCTAGTTTCTCATTACCCTCCCACGTGATGTGCAGTTTATTCTGGACTTAAGAAAAGGCAAAAATATTTTCCCAGCTCCTTTACTCTGTTATTTTTTATTATCCCCTGGAAAAATCGTTTCTCGAGAAATGGAGGCAGGGTGGATGGGCTGTCTTTTATTGAAGGCTGTGGTGCTGCTTCCTCTGTTTCATTCCTCCCTTGCACGTGGCACTCCCTTCCAAAAGAGGTGAGGTTTTATTTCTGGAAGGGAGGTCACATTCTCTTACTTTTGCTTTTACCAAAATTGCATGGCTCCGCATGTGTCAACAGGTGCTTCTCATTGAAGAAAAGTTATAATCCTGACCCATGTGCTCACCAGTCACTTTCACCAATGTATCAAAGAAATCAACATCCTTTTTGTAAGGTATAGGTCTTCACCTGCATACAATATAACCATTTTTGTTTTCATAGGATGAATTCCGTATGGCCGAGAATGGTTAAGTAATCTACAATATGCTAAACCAAGGGATTATTTAATTTAAAAGAAAGGCTACTGATGACTTTTAATTTTTTTAAGCTCAGTGTTTAAATTTGTAAAATGAGCAAAATGGCATGTCATGGCCCCTCATTTGGGTCATTGTACGTATAGTGAATCATCTATTGTGAAGACAGGTGACAGCAATGTCACCTCAATGCCACCATCTGCTCATAAGTCCTCATGATCCTCTCTGTAAGACTGGGAATAAAAAGGAGTAAGTGGCAGCCATTACCTTTGTGTGAGAGAGGAAATCTTCCTTCTTTTCTTCTTAACTTTTCTGTCTTCTGTGTATTCGCTTCCTCAACAGTATTGAATGCCTTCTTCTAAGACCTTGGGGAATCCTCAAATCAAACCAATGTGATCCTTGCCTTCAAAGTGCTTCAGTTTAGTAGTGATTATGTGCGCCAAAAGTGCTGCAGGAGTTGACAAAATTGTGAGAATGACAAAATTATGCCATTCTCAATGAAGCCATTGAAGATTCTGCAACTCCAATTAATCATGCCTGGTCTTTCAAAAGGGCACAAGGAAAACAGATAGCCAATAGTAAATATGACTTAAATAGCTATAAAACCAGTGTGTCTAAAAAAAATTAGAGAAGTTGAAGGTGATTAATGGAATCATATGTTAAGTTTTTAAAGGAATTAAAGTATGTAGAAAATGTCAAGCCATATTTAGTCTACTGAGATAGAAACTAATTCAAACCAAATAAATTACGCTTCACCTAGCTACTCCAAAAGAAAGAAAACAAAGGAGAAAATTGATCCCTTTAAAATTATAACAGTAAAAGTTGACATCAGAATACAGAGATAGCTGATTTCCTGGAAAGTAATTTTTCTCCTGTCTTGACATAAGATGGAGAGCTACCTAGGGACAAAACATTCATTTCCTGACTCTGCAGACAGTTCTAAATAATGTGGTTTCAGATAATAATGAAAATGGTCGTGAAACAAATGACCATTCATATGGTGACTGAGGCCAAAGAAATGCAGTGAGGCCAAAGAAAGTCATTTTCATTGACTTTCACAAAATTTGACTATTATAATCACTTGTCTTAAAGTGTCACAAGTAGCCCTGGGGGCTTCAGCACTGCTCTTCACACACACACACACACACACACACACACAAACACACATGTCACATGTTTCTGTACATTCGCCTGGGGATCCCCTCTTTAGACTCCACAATGCCGGCCCTGGCAGAAATGAAAACAAGGTTTCAAGATTTTCAGTCCAAAAACTTAAGTCCATATGGCTCTGTTTCTTTATACCCTTGAAGAATTAATAATTTGTCAATAATAGAATGCTTGTTTCTAGAAGGATCTGAAGGATTCCTCAGGAATGTAACACAGTTATAATTTGAGGTCTCCATTGACAGAAATTTGGAAGACATGTTATAACTTTATGTTGACTCACTGGCTGCTGATATGCTGGCAAAGGTTTGCCAACAAACATTTTAGAAACACCTTTCTGTCTGGTTGCCTTCACATCAAATCATTTCCTCTCACCCCACTCTAACTATAATTGCCTCTACAATTTCCACATATTTTTTAAAATTCAAACTATTTCCATTAAAAAGTGAATTTTATTTATCCTCACAGCGTGCCTATAGTAACTTCTTTAAGCAGGTAGCTGATCAGGGGCCTTTTGTAGCAAACTGATAACATAAACCAGACAGATGGTATTAAATGCAGTCGACCTAGATGATACTTTCCATAGATTGCTACTTAATATGTGTATTTTTGTTTAAGCTATTCTGAGTCAATCCGAATAATTACCACCATCATTGCCCTCACATTTTACATTTTAAACATGATCTTGTTGCTTTGGTAGGGTGGCAAGTAAAACATGTAAAAAACATAAATGTACAGTCAATGTTATTTCTAAGGGTAAATATACCAGAAATACCAATGTAAGAGCTTAAAGCTATAGCAATATAATTTTTGAAAGAAGCAGATTAATTCTAAAATTGCCATGACTGTGTGGCTACTTTTAATCTTTTAAAATTCATTATTTTGCCCTCCTTTTTTCCTAGAAAACAATTATATTTTCATTGTTATTATTATAATGTGTTTGAAAATTCAACACTAGAGAGTTTTCAAGACTTGTGAAGAAAATGTCCTTGAAATTTACTCCATTTTTATGCATTGAAAAGCGTGTCTTCTCTCATACTACCTTACATTAACATTTTTTATTTTCTCTGTTTTTTGTTTATCTTGTTCTTCTTTCTTTGTATTTTTTAAATGTATTTTATAATTTTTTTAAAGATTTATTTATTTATTTATTTATTTATTTATTTATGCAAGAACCGGGGTACAGGCCTGATGTGCAGGAGGGTGAAAGGATTCACCAAAGACAGAGCTGGGAACAGAACAGGCAGACTAACAAAATACACTGCTGAGGGGAGCAGCGGGCAAGACAGGAGAGGTCTG